GGGGTTCTGTCTTAGATATGAGGGGATGGAGGGTGGGTCCGTTCTAGATCTTGGGGGTGGGGGGGGTTCCTGTCCTATATCTTGGGGATAGGGATACATAAGACTTAACCAAATATAATAGTTTTTGCTCGGGGCCTAGAAAAAACAGGTTTAGTGCAACAAAGTCTACCCTCTTACCTCCATATAGTAATAATTTTGGAAGTGGTGAGCATGAGACATGTTGCCCCTTGGGCTGGCAAGCGCTACTTGTGTTTTGTCTGTAGCCTCTGTCATGGTGGGCTGGCTTACACATAACCTTGGGTGGTTGGGGGGTGCTCTGGTGGGGTTTGCTCCTTTTTACCTTTCAAACATCTGTCATCTTTATCTCTCCTCCTTCTTTTTCGGTTTGTTACTCTGTCGTAACACCTGGGATCTTTGGCTTTATTGTGTTGCAAGTGCCGTAAAACTCTTACTAAAACATAAAACAAATAAAGCACCCAACATTCTGACAAACTTCCTGAGAAGCAGAGAGTGCAAGCTGCCATGTCACGTGTGCTTAAACACTAGCAAAACTGACAAAGCTCAAGTCTTTTATTTTTTTTCCCGTCGTATCGAAAAATGCAGATTCTAACAAGAGCGAGGCTTCCTCCCGCTCGGGCAGCGTTGGGTTTGCGTTCAACATGGCTGCCGCTGCGAAGGACGGTGGCGGTGCTCCTGAGGAGGGATCTAACGCAGACAGGTTTTCCTTCACCACGACTCAGAGCCAGCCTCCTCCCGTGGCCTCCTCCAACGCCGCAGCGACCACTACGGCCTCCTCCTCCTCCTCTTCTTCTTCTGCCTTCTCCGGCTCGCTGTTTGGGCAGAGGTCAGAGACAACATCAGGTGTGTGGGTAGTGGCAGGGGTGGACTTCACTTTCACCGTCAGCTTCACTTTCACCATCACTTTCACCTTTATCCTAACCATCATGTTCATCTTCACCGTGACTTCACCCCGACCACCACGGTCACCTTCACCCCGACCACCACGTTCACCTTCACTCCGTTCAACTTCACCCCGACCACCACGATCACCTTCACCCCGACCACCACGTTCACCGTGACCCCGACAACCATGGTCACCTTCACCCCGACAACCACGGTCACTTTCACCCCGACCACCATGGTCACCTTCACCCCGACCACCACGTTCACTTTCACTCCGTTCACCTTCACCACGATCACCTTCACCCCGACCACCATGTTCACCTTCACCCCGTTCACCTTCACCCCGACCACCACATTCACCTTCACCCCGTTCATTTTTACCCCGACCACCACATTCACCTTCACCCTGACCATCACACTCACCTTCACTTTTACCCTTTACCTTCACCGCCCCCTTCACCTTCACCTTCACCTTCACCTTCACCCTTCACCTATCCTATAGTCTTGCTGCCTATTGCTGCACCTCTGAAGACTTTACAACCAGCTTCACCGCCGTCTATGGTGTAGTGGTTAGGCGCTTGGCTGTCACATGCAGGTGACCGTAGTTCCCTTCCGGAGTGGAGATAAATTCTTCTCAAGTATTTCAGTCTGGCTGCTGGAATGTTGTGTCCTTCTCAGCTTGGATTGTCCCTGACAGGCCGGGTCAGAAGCCCACCTCCTGAGGGATCTAAATTGTATTGATGTTGACCTAAAAACATCTGCATTTACTGCTGTTGTTTCAACCAATCCTTCTATGTCCTGAAACTTGCTCCAGAAGCTGAGGTTACTAAATTTGAGAAGTAATTTGGGATTTCATTTAGCTTCCATCATGTTCTCTCTGTGACCCTCTACATCTGTCTTTTTGTCTGTCCATCCGTCTCTCTTCTCCTCCTCTCCTCCCCTCCCACCCCTCAACTTTGTCTGTCTCAGTCACTGTCTGCCTCTCTCTCTGTGTGTCTCTCTCTATGTCTCTCTCTGTCTCTCTGTCTGTCTGTCTGTCTGTCTCTCTCTCTCTCTCTCTCTC